TTTTTTGTTGCTTTTTTTGTAGATAAAAATGCGCACGAACTTATGGACTGACCTGATACCATTCCAAGTAAGACGTATTTCTGATATGTGGTATATAGGTCCTATTGTGATAAGTTTTGGTCACTCTGGTATATACTTTGTTTAATCTTAGAAAATGATCCACTTCACATTATCAAAAAATAAATTTTCTAATTAGGTTTATGAATATATTTAGCTTATTATTTCTTTATGAGTCTCTTATTTAAAATACAATTTATAATATATAAAAGTTAAAATTTCTAAACACACTTACTGGATTCATGCATTGATTTCCGGTAAGACTCAAAATTTCACACATTTGATGCCCAGTATGCCATAATCTTTCGCAGTCTTCTCTCAGTTGATGCGCATACCTTTGAAAAGCCGGTCCTCTAGCATGCATCGAAAACACTTGTAGTGCATGAGCTAACTGAAAAGATTCAATTAGTTTATTAAATTTATTGGCATTTAAGAATAAATCTCTGTATAAATATCAACATAACACAATAGTGACCACTTTTATGTCCAGTACTTGGGTGTAATATGTGTGCTTACACCAAAAAAAAACTGATTTTTATTGCTTGCTGCACCAAAAGTGCCACAGTGGTGATTTTTGGTACTAAACATTAAGAAGAAAAGTGGCAGATTGTAAAAACAATTAATTATAATATCACTCACATATAAAGTACATAGAACGCTTCATTTAATTCTTGTCTCAAACCAGATACCCAAATGCAATAATTTACATTACTAATTTAGTTTATGATAAAGTTTTATCAATAAAACTATCTATTTACCTTTCTTTGATGATATTCTGTTGTATAATGAGACGGAAGATTTTCTTGATATGCGGCGGCTGCTATCGGCAAAACTTTTCCACATCGCCTGTACGAAAATCAATACATTATAAAATATTTCTATATGTGTGTCAATCGTTACTTTGTTATCATTTAAGTTATGTGCATTAAGAATAATACAAGAGTGCATTAAAAATAATACAATTCAATAAAATTCAAACTTTGACAGCTAAAATACGTTCAAAAAATTGAAACATGTTACAATACTAAAAAGCAGAGAAATAGTGTGGCACAGCATAAATAATTTATTTCTTTTGTTTGTTTTATTATTTAAATCAATTATGCCAAATTTTGAATTGGTAATAATGTCTTACACTTGATGGCATCTTAGAATCAAGGAAAAAAATATTAAAACCTTACTCTATCATGTTTGTTTTCGTTAGCAGACAGAAATACATAAACTGCAATCTTTTATATAAACTCTAAGGATTCATCATATTTGAATCAAACCACTCACAAGACTTTCTGAGGATCCAGTCAGGTTTCAAATCTACATTCTCTATAGCATTAGTTTTCAACATATAGTCTGTGGACCACTGGTGATCTGCAGACTGATTTAGTCATTTTTCTAAAATGTCTAGCCAAGGGAAAGAATATACTGTACCAGTCGACCCCCCTACAACACTTAATAATTCCATTTTATATGAATTCCATGTTGTACAAGTCACTTAGACTTTACAAATACGTATGCCGGGCTGTGAACGGCTCACGTATTTGTAAAATCTGAGTGACTCATATAACATGAAATTCATATAAAACAGAATAATCAACAGTGTTATAGGGGGGTCGACTGTATTTAAAACCAGGTTCACACTGTCATACAAATCACACTAACAAAAAGAAATTCCATTAGCATTGCACTATGCAATACTAACTGAGTTAGAATGTGAAAAACCACGGAGCAGTAAGCCAATGGCTTTACTACCTCAACCATCTGTATTTTAATATTATCTGCACTAACAATATTGTAATACAGTAGAGCAGTGTTTTTCAACCTTCTTGAATACGCGACCCCTTTACAAGTTAAAAAATTCTGGCGACCCCCCCAGGGCCATATTAAAACTATATCTGTGATTTTAAAAACTATGTATTTAATTTTCTTTCTTTAAATATCGATCGAAAAACCAATTGTACTGTAAAATAAACAGGCACAGCCTTCTCACTGAAATTCTAGTTTTTTTTATTGTAGTGTAGGACTTACAAACACTTGTTTTTTTCTTTAACCCGCGACCCCCCGTGTAAGGCTTTGCGACCCCCCTGGGGGTCGCAACCCACAGGTTGAAAAACACTGCAGTAGAGCATCGCTTATCCGACTCAATTGGGACTAGGGTTAGCCGGATAACTGAAAAAACGGATAACCGAAAAGTATGAAAAAATACATTATTANATTGAAAAAACGGATAACCGAAAAGTATGAAAAAATACATTATTAGTATAGTATATTATTATATCCCATGTAATTAGTATATTAGTATATTGCTATTAACCTACTTCGCATTTAATTTTCATCGATGTTAAGTCTAACAAAAAAATTTTTTTTAAAATAATAATCGTCTCTATTGTGTCGTTAAAAATTATTTTTAAATTATTTTATTGATCACAAAACAAACAACCACTCATAATTAGAAAATTAAGCCTCGTTTAAATACTGGCATCCCTTTCATGGTCGAGCCAGTGTTGCCAGCTAAAACACCAAAAATTTAACGAAAATAATATTAAAGTAGCCAAGACATACCCAAATATTATAGCGCCGCATCACCAGCGGACATTTGAATTTGCCGACTAGAACGCGGTCGGTTAACCGATGTGACGGTTAATCGGGGGTCGAATAATCGATGCTCTACTGTAAATATATTTTATACACTGTTTTAATTTTATTAAGTCTTTGAAGACTTAATAAAATTAAAACAGTGTATAAAATATATTCAAACTCTTCTATTTTAAAATAAATATTTTTATATATTTGAATCCACAAAACTGAAATGCATTTATTTTTTTTCAGAAAAGATGTCTTATGATAATTTTTTATAATATAGAATTTGATTATAATTGTTTGGCCATTTTCATCCACTCGAAATGGATCTTACAAATTAGTAAAATCATTAGAGTACATAAAAGTGTGAAATGCTAATTTGTTGACATTCGATTCCTATCAATGCCATGTCACTAATCATGTCATGAAGCACGGGAAGCGAGGCCACGCATTAAGCACATGGTAAATTATTTCAACGAGCACTGAAAAGCTCACAATTTGCCACTTTGCAAAGTGATTAGCAACGCAGCATCAACTGGAATCGAATACCAACAAATTAGCATTTCACACATTCTATTTGCATCATTTGTGTATGCAGGATGTCCTTTTGTACCGAATCTGTCCTGCTCTACAACTTTGTAATTGATCTCTTTTTGTACTGCACATCGTTTTCAAAACAGAAACACTAACTTCTGAATTTTATCACTAGGGGTCCTGCAAGCAGTCTCATCTTGTAACACACAGTCACTTTAACTATACATCATGTTTGTAATTGTATTTCTTAACATTCTTCAGTTATGTGAGTGTATAAGGACTTTACAGCATCCCATATATAAAAATTAATATAAAATATATAAATTAAATAATTTATTGAAATAGATTTCATTTAATAGATAGAATAAAAATTATTTTTTAACTGAAAATTTTAGAAACTCTTTAAGAACAATGCATATAGATGACAAAATTATGATAACGATAAGCACTGACGATGAACTGAACCAATCGGGTTTGTTCTTATTCACCCAGTTGTCGAAGCTTGGGTTTCCCTTTGTTTCTTATGCATTAATCTTTTGTGGCAAACAAGTGGTCGTCATTAAAAAGCCAATTAGTCAGACTAGGTATTTATACTTGTTGCCATCTTAAATTTGATATATGGTTGTGCGCAAACAGATTTAAACATTAGATTTTATTCAGAATTAAGTAAACACAGTAAAGCCTTGATTTCACATGATCAGAAAACAAGCAGAAAACAGACACGGGCAAATCAATAGAATCGGTTTCAATTAATTTTTGTTTACTTCTTTTTTCCACTGTAATGTGAGCAAAATTAAGTGAATTATAGTGCTATCTGTAATCATCTGTTTATAGATGTAAAAAACAAAAATAAATGATGTTGCCATTGTTAATGCATTGTCACTACTGTTTTATGATTCCCTATTGTGGTTCTCAACCATTCTGAAGCCATGGAACATTATTTATATACTTTCTATTTTGGAAACCTATCATCAATATATTCAAAAATCAATAAGTAATTCCATGTTTAATATTCTCGCATAAAGCAATAAACTAATAAACTTTACTCTATTGAACGACATAGTAAACTTTGAATTGTCTACAAATAAAGTAATATACATGTACATTTGAACAAATTTAAAGTAAAAACCTACAAGCCTATACTATTTTCAAAACAACCAAAAAGTATGCACTTTGTGAAGAAATTAATAAATATTTTTTACCCTTCTGAAAATCGTACGTCGATGTCTAATGCGGTTCTCAGACTATTGTGAATGGAGCTACTTCTCGATTCTTTGGGCTCACTTAAAAACCAATTATACAATTTATTGGAAATTTCAAACCAGGTCTTTACTGATGGCAACTGTAAATAAATTTAAACAAAGTAATTTATTTTCAAAAACTTTTGAATAAAATCTCTAAAATAATAAATTCTTTATATATAAAATATAAAATAAGAATATAAAATGTTAAGGATAAAAATTCATCATCTCAAACAAATTACGCTAATGAAGTAATATACTCAATTGTGGAAAACAAACAGCAAAAAATACTGCCTTTGAAAAGCAATTTCATAATTAGTATGTCATTTCAACAAGAAAAATATATATTTACACTCTTTCCAACCTGTGAGCACTAAGCAGACTCTTTTGATTGTGCCCATTGTTGCCGGTTAAGCTCTCAATGGGGCAACTGTTGAAACGTGGAATTCAAAACATTTGAGTCGAACCTCATGAAACTTTCTGAGAATCCGGTCTGGATTCAAATCTAGATCCCTCACAACATTGGTTCTAAACATGTAGTCTGCAGATCAGTGGTGGTCCATGAACATGTGCCAGATGGTTCATAGACCAATCTAGTCATTTTTCTAAAATGTAATTACATACCGTTTAGCCAAAGGAACACAATATACTGTATTTAAAGCTCGATTAACACTGTTGTACGAAGCACTATGAACAAATGCTAACAAACAGAAATGCCATTAGCACCTCATTAGGAAACACTAATCGAGTTAGAGTGGTGAGAAAGGTTTTGTTTACACTCACTAATTTTAAGGAAAATATTAATTGGTTGAATGATGTTCAGTAAAAGTTGAGATACTTTAAACTCCTAACGAACCAAACGAACTGGTCGAACAGCTGCCAAAAGGGCACAAATTGGCAGTTTGTTTGCCAATATGAACCTAGTTTAAACACCACTTATCTCTTAGGTTACCAGATACACAAAATCCTTTGACATGCATCTAAGGTAATTTTTAAAGGAAAAGAAATGAAAAAGGACATGGACATTAAGTGATTCTGCAGTTTTCTTTGGAAAACTTGCACCAGGAAGCTGATATCTTTACTGTTTCGGTTATCCAATTGTCAAAACCTGTCCAATATTCTTAATTACTAATCCAATATTTTTTGTTATAATCTCCTGAAGGAAATGTTAATTGTTACAACAAAGAAAAAATTATTAAACATTTATATAAAGTCATTTCCAACAATTTAGTATATATAATTATTTAGATTCCTCAATGTACATTGTTAGATTGAATCACAAAAATATTTTATTTATTTTAATGAATAATGATTGATTAATAGACTGGTTAATGCGTGACGTTAGTATATTTTAGGTTACTAACCAGTCTGCAATTAAAATACACAGGAATATCAATACAATCTGAAATTATATTTTTCGCAAATAAGCATGAAGCAATTTGATAAAAAGTCTGTAAAATAATTTTGTGTTAAGGCTGGATTTAAGGTCGCTAGCCATTGCCGAGACCGAGAAAACACCATCCACTTTATAGTCAAAGTCACAATGTTCAACTCTAGTGTTGTGTTGCCAGACCAGAAGTCCGCATCTATAGTTCAAAGTTTAGTAGAGTGGAAGACGGTAAACATAGCAGAACCCTGCAAACTATGCCAATGCAGCAATATTCTGCCATTGAATTATAAATCGACCCTTAGCTTCTGCTCTGAAAACTAAGTTCAAATCCGGATCAAAATGTCAGTAACTTTTAAGACAGAAGACAGAAAGTGTGCTAAAAACATTAGAAATTATTCGTGAAAGATCTTTTTTTCTATTATTTTATGTAAGAAATGTATCAAACTTGATATTATTTTTATTTTAGATTATTAAAATAAAAAATACTTCAAAATAAGCAGGAATTGGATGACGTCCAACATTATCGTCAAATCCTTTAGTAAGAGCCATTTGAATGTGTTGCCAGAGGAATGAATGAAAACTGTGATCGCTTGTACTTTCTTCCGATAAAAATGACAGTTTTCCACTTCCGTTTCCTACAGCATTGACGTTCTGCATGCTTCCACGACGACTCAGTGCATAGCTTTTTAATCTTAAAGAGGAGGTATCTGAAGTATCAAAATAAATTTGTCATAAAATAAAATATATCATTATATATACAGCTACTGCCATAAAAATTAGTGCACCATGAAGGAATTAGTTGTATTGCTGCAAAACTTGGCATGCAGCTAAGTCTCAAGCAGATATGGAAATGATTAGAGTTATTGCTTGACAGCTCGTTGCATAATGACAGCAGAGGGCATTAAAGTGCATCCGCCTTGGCCTATAAAAAAGCATGCAAAGGCATCTTGTCTGTAATTTGCCAGTTGCAGAGGGATACTGTATCACTAGAGATGCCTTTATGTCACAATTGAAAACTGTATGAACAGCTAACTGAGTTTGAGAAAGGAAGGATCATTGGCTTGAGAGAAGCCAGATGGTCATCTTGCTGAATAGCCCACCACCAAGGCCATTCTGACAACGCTTTGAAGAACTGTTAGGACCAGTGGACAAAAGAGTGTGTGCACACACTGTGCCCAGGCTCAGGATGAAATTGGCAGACCACTAGTCCTCTAACAAGCATGCACACAGCCAACTGTATTGTTGTCTGTCATCTGAACACAAGTGGTACCATCATTACAGGCCCCCATGTCTGTACATATCATTTCTAGGTGCCTGGGTGAGGAACATTTGGTATTGCAGCGGCCATTACATGTACTGCCATTAACCATCACCCACCATTGCCTCTGGAATGGTGTCACTCTTGATGGGATTTAACCGCAACAGAATAGAACTGAGTCACCCAAAGCAAAAAATTCAGATTCAGTTTGGGCACCAATGACAGCAATTTTTGTGTCTGAAGGCCCTGTGGTGAACACCTCAGAGCGGTATACCACACCCACAGTTGGTTTGATTGTCTGGGATGCCATCATGCATGACAGCTGGTTACCGCTAGTAGTAATCCAAGAGACCATGACAGGCCCAGTGATATGTTAGTGGCATCCTGAAGCAACATGTGTTGCCTCTTGGACAATAATTGGCCACACATTGCAAATGTATCAAATGACTGCTTTCGCCATATTGCCACACTTCCTTGGCCTGCCTGGTCATCTGATTTGTCACTAATCAAACATGTCTGGGATTATCTGGGATACCAAGCTGGACAGCCTAAGAGTCTGGCAAACTAGAGGACCACTTGAAACAACTGTGGACTGAGACACTGCAGGACACCATACAGCACCCATATGCCTCCATGGCCATATTATGTCATATATTCACATTAGAGGTGGCCCAACAGGGTACTAGAATTTCCTTTCATTTGTAGTTTTTCCTGCAATAAATGGTCCTTTTGCTTTCATTTTGTAATCACTTACTTATATCACCATATAGTTTTAGTATTATACTCACGCCAAGTAATAGTAGTATATATGGAGTCTTTATTCATAACAACCTCCAAAATGTGCAACACACCCTTTCTGGAACTGCCCAACATATGGATCGCCTTATATAAACGGTTAAACAGCGATTTACATCATCTGTCACATTGTTGATGTGGGCCAGCAACACGCATGTGCCATATTACATCATACATATTCGAAATTTATAGCCATTTCATATCAAGTTTATTCCAAAAGCGTTTTATTTAAATTTATATGCGTTCTTTTCCATTTCAAATGTATATGTTAACTTAAAAAGCTTTTTATTTCGCCTAAGGACAACGAAAATATATTTGTTGAAAGCGCTCGAAAAGAAAACTATTAATAACGCCGTACACAGTGAAAATTTATTTTACTACTTATATCACCATTACACTCACATACACAATTTCATTTAATTCTGACAACACCTTTTTGGTGTACCAATTTTTATGGCAACAACAGTATTTATTAAGTAAAATTTATAGAAAAAATCTTACCAGATTCTTTAGAAATTGAACAAAAATCTCTCAGCTGTGATATAAAAAATCCAACAGGATCCTCTATAACCGGTTGCGATGTGGAAACGTAAACAAATTCTTGATTGGCAGGCACAGCAAATAAGGAATTGCCACTAACATTAATATAAAAAAATTCAAAT